TTGTTATTATTTTATTTATTTTATTTTATTATAATATTATTATATTTTTATTATTTTTATTATTATTATTATTATTACTATATATATTGTTTTATTGATGTATGTTTTTGTGTGTGTGTGTTCGTGTGTGTGTCTGTGTGTGTGTGTGTGTGTTCGTTTGTGTGTGTGTGTGTGTTTATATGTAATTCTATACGGGCATTTATCAAATTGTATGCGTCAAAGTACTTTTTTTTGTATATGTTTTAGCTGTTGAATACCTTTAAATATATGAACAAAAATAAATTTGCGTGTACGTAGCATATACAGACCAGCCTGCTTCGATATTGTCCTCGAAAGGGAAGTGTTTTTATCGCATACATGCAAGTACAATCCCGTGCCGTTTGTTCGTAACCGTCGACTACGTAGAGCTTACCAATGGTACCATGAGAAGCACGATCGAAGCATATCTTAATTACATTTATCTCCCTATACAGTGTCATCGTAAAGGTAGGCATGCTTGGTGATGCACAGACTGGTAAAACCACCTTGATGGTGAAGTATGTGGAGGGATCTTTTGATGAGGACTATATACAAACACTAGGTATGTATCTACAAACGGTATATTTCAGTTGCTTTAAGGTTCACATCGATGTATACAATGTGCATCTGAGATAGCTAGCCAACATATAGTTGTGTGGCTACGTGCGGACCAATTGCTGATGTATGTCTGTAAATAGAGGTAGAATCGATATGGAATTCAAGCACCGGCGTGTTCCGAATCATGCTGATGCGTGTGTACTAGACCACAAAATAGCACTCCAGATGAAACAAAGCTATCGTATTGACACTCGTTATTCATTGAAAGCAGTCAAGCGCATGAAACCTCGGTGAGTGCAAGACACAGAAGGTGTACTACTAGCGAGGCATGCAGCTCCACGATTCTCAACCCTTACCCGAATACTAAACAGTCCACTTGCCCTTTTTTTATTTCGCGCCACATGGGCACTCATATATACACCAATCGTTTCGAGGGGTAGATATATCGTAGCCCTGTCACATTCGTGCAGTCCATTGATCATGCTCAATGCCTTGGTATTATTCTGGTTCTGGTGCTTACTTGAATGATATGTATAAGCCTATGTCACTGCACTGTACCGTTCATGTCGCACAATCTGGTGCATTGGAATCTTCACCTGGCGATGCTGTGGCTCCAATCCAACTGAGGCTGTGAGTGCTACACTGGCACTTTCCTATCACTTTATGCACGCCTCGTTATGCAGTCGTACGTCCTGGTACTCATATGTTACTCCTTTAAGCCCGATGTTCCGGACCAACCCTGATCGCGAATTGCTACACTAAATAATACATATCAGTGGCTGTGTGATACTTTGGTCTGGTCAATGTTTTCGTCCCTGCACAATCGTGACTGTGTGGGCTCGGTTGTCACTTTGATTCTCATACGTATGACTCGGGTGTGAACCCTCGTATACCAGTGTGTACTTGTGAGCCACGGTGCTCGTTGCTAAGCACTGGTCATGCTTTGTGCTTCCGTTGACAGGGGTGAACTTCATGGAGAAATCAATCACCATACAACAGACGGAGATCACCTTTGCTATCTGGGACTTGGGGGGTATGTGCCGTGCGGTCTTCGGATATCATAGAGTTAGGAATGGAAGCAAGCTGGTATCACCGTGTTTGGTATCAGAATGATGCTAACCGGCAAATGGCGCGTTCAGCTTGTTTGTCCCCTGCGCTGCGTAGTTGGAATGTGTTGGTAACTTCTCTGAATGTTTATGTCGCATATAAGAATCAGGCCCTTATCCGCCACACATTTCAGCCTAGATATCCAGTACTATACCTGCATAGCCTTCATCTATCGATATTGTCCAAAGTGTTATTCGTTGCGCAATAGGAATGTGTGGATAGTTGCTTTCATGTATTTCAATACAAGCTCGTGCCACGGTGTGTTCCAGACTCTCATTTGCATGGCTCTTGAGTTTGACATCATTGCCTCTACCCTGATATCGCTCAAGAGTGGTACACGCAGCGCACTAAGGTTTCAGCAGATCGTACAGATACCATGAACATACCAACAGAACATTCTTATAGGACACTGATGTACATCATGCATCCTCTTCCCATCCTGTATAGAGCTCACACAGCTTCATGAGTACATACATGCGTGCCTTGTAGCATCGAAACGCAGTATATGATTTTTTTCTGTTCTCGAAGTCTATTTTTAGAACAATCTAATTGTTCTATTTATAGGTCAGAGAGAGTTCATCAACATGCTGCCACTAGTATGCAACGATGCAGTAGCGATACTCTTCATCTTCGATCTGTCACGGAAGCAAACGCTAAATAGCATCAAAGAATGGTACAGACAGGCACGAGGATTTAACAAGGTATGCGCGCGTGACTCAAGGGTATACTTATCTATATAAATATATATATATATCTGTATCTGTGTCTATGTCTGTGTCTGTGTCTGTGTCTGTGTGTCTGTGTCTGTGTGCCTGTGTGTTTGTCTGTGTTTTCTGTGTTTGTCTGTTTGTTTGTCTGTTTGTTTGTGTGTGTGTATGTATGTGTGTGTGTGTGTGTGTGTGTGTGTGTATGTATGTATATCTATGTGTGTATATATGTATATATATATATATGTGTGTGTGTGTATATATGTATATATATATATGTGTGTGTGTGTGTGTATGTATATATATATATATGGGTGTATGTTCAGTAGAATGCGCAATTTGGATATGCGCAAATGTACATCCAAATATGTTTAAGATGCACGTATATACATTCAACTGCAAAATTCTTGCCTACATCTTCTCCTTAACAAGGTATATAATGAAACCATCACCACTGTGTCATACATATTGCAGAAAGGTCCCCGCCATACAGTTCGTGCTCATTCGATACATAGGCATATACTTCCTATTTAGCAAAGAATATGTTTTATTTTGGGTCATTGCTCAAAATTACAAATGTGCCAGGTATATTCTGCAGTTGTATTTGCACCGATGCTGCTGCGGCACGCCGTTTAATCGGTTCTGAAAACCTTGAATCTGTGCCCAACTGAGCACTTAATCTCTACATACTTACATTACGCATATGAAGGGCTTTTAGAACATAATAATTGAGTTGCGCATACGGAGGGTGTTGATAGACATATGAATGTTGTCATGGAGACGTATAGATGCTTGTTTGCTACTCATTTACAGTACGATCAAACCATTGAACAAAAGAGAGTGTGCGATAGGAACGCTCGGTACTCATTAACTGACTCGTTTGGGAATTCGACTGTGCACAGACTGCGATACCCTTTCTGGTGGGGACCAAATACGATGTGTACAACGAACTGTCACAAAAGGAACAACAAGATATATATAACCGGGTACGTAAAGTGTATACGAATGTAACAAGTATGTGAATAGTAGGTATTTAGCCCTAGGTTCACTTCGTAACTCGAACCCTAGAACGGCTGATGTGGGCATGTGCGTATCTGTGTTCATGTTCCGTATGGGTACGTGTTTGTCGGTGAACCTACGTATGTGCATGAGTGTACAATTGTTGAGTATATGCGTATTCGTATGCGTACGTGGTGCTACTGCAAGCGCATAATATCCTGTTCTGTGCTCCAACAGCGAACCCCTTTTGGTCGTCTATTATAGTTTATATCGTAGTTGTGTTCCTATCAGAGAATGTGCTTACAGTGTGTCATGGCACTAGTAAAAATCTTTCTAACGTTCGTTTGACAACTAAGTCTGGTTTTATTTGTCGGTAGAGTACAGTCCATGCATTAAGGTACCACCACAGACACCGGCCGAAGAAGCCACACGCTCATTCTTATTATTGTCCGTGTACCGTTCGACTGCTCTCCCGTCCCAGGCAAAAAAATACTCGGACGCCATGAAAGCTCCGCTGATATTCTGCTCGTCATCGCACTCGATCAACGTCCAGAAAATATTCAAGATCGTGCTAGCCAAGGCCTTTGACTTAAGATGCACCATCGAACAAGTCACGGACGTGGGCGACCCCTTAATCATCTACTAGCTGCCATAGAGTATATCTTCACCATTATACAACGGAACACTCAGCAATACACTCGAGAAGGGAGATCCCGTGGTCGGCTGCGCTCTCACAGGTGCACACAACATATATGCACGTGCACTGTGTGCGTGTGTGGTGTTAAGTGCGCGTCTGCCTCGGAATGGGAGATTGTATCTTCACCGTAGAATGACCAGGTCACCCAAGTGCCCGCGATTTGGGGCCATTCTGCACCGGACATCCTGTGATGCTTTATAATGCACTTGGCGTTAACGGTTGGAGTTGCATGCAGTGGAGACATGCGTGATAGCCCTAAACGTACAACGCACGGGTGTCATATTATTGTATACTGTATTGGAATCAACATTGCCCGTTACTATAGATATCCCCCAGCCCCAGACCGCCTCGAGTATTGTCAGCGACTTAAACTGCACAAACAACCATCCATAAAAGCAATGCACAAATAACCCAGTTATAAAAAAATGACTACATAACAGGCATCGTAGCGGAACATTCACTGTACCTTGGACACTCGAACGATAAGCGTACAAGCCTGGATTATAATCATATGCTGGTCCGCTGCTGTGCTCCAAGCCGGGTATGCTGACCGTGCCGTTGCCATTTCGGGTGCATGTGATAGTCACATGGCATGAATGCTGAATTTTTCTCTAACTTGGCAGAGTATTTTAAGATTGACACTGCAACACAAACAATTGCAGACATATTCTACACTTTCTCCTGGAGCATATGCCATACCTTTTCTTGGAACATATACTATACTTTCCTCTTAGAATGCCTGCTGTATTTCCTCTCAGAACTTGCTATACTTTCTCTTTTAACATACCTATACTTGTATTTAAATCATATGCTATACTTTCTCATACTTTCACTTCAGACATATGCTATACTATTATCATATGCTATTTTATTTTATGAAACATATGCTATACTTTCTCTTAAATAATGTGATATACTTTCACTTGTAGCATATGCTATACTTACTTGTATAACACATATGACATACTTCCTTATAGATCATGTACTATACATTCACTTAAGAAATATGCTATAATTTCGTATAGATTATGAGCTATACTTTCTCTTATAGCATATGCTATACTTTTTCATAGGACATATCCTACACTTATCTTGAATCATGTGCTATACTTTCACTTGTAACATATGCTGTACTCTCTTATCGAACACCATGCTATACTTGCTCTTAGATCATGTGGCATACTTTTACTTAGAAATTATGCTACACTTTCACTCAGACAATGTGCTATACTTTCTCTTGGGAAATTTACTTTCATTTAGTTGGGAACCTTCTGAATATATTTCTTTCATATTTGATAGTAGACACTAGGGTGTAAACTATTCAATTATAGGATTGTATTCAACATATTCTCGGCGTGCTCATATCATGTACACAGAGATTCCCCCGGAAAGGTATTGATAAGTTTATTTTTGTATCATCACAATACTTACTTTACAGCACACTCTGGTTCTTGAGAAGCGTGGAACAATCACAGCAGAACAAATTAAAGTGATACCGCGTATAGTGAAATATGAGTCCTACAAATTGCACAGACCCTAAATACACCAAAAACCCAAAAACCCAAAACCCCAGCTATATGTGTAATGTGGCCGTACCCATCGACGTATATACAAATTACAACATCCCAGCCCACTGAGAGTCTGAGACAGGATTAATGTGACTATCACAATAGCGGGTCTAAATTCTAAACTTTAAAAAAACCCCTGAATAAACTGTAAAACTCTAAACCAGACCCACATTTTTACAAATTATTGTTGTTTACAAAAAACATTTGTTGCTTGATTGTTGAATCATAGAAGGCTCTGCATATTAGTGGCCGACTGGCCGGGAGGGTGTCATACACCATCTTTGGAATGCTATGTGGTTACCCCCAAAAAAAAATCATCACACGCAGTATCACGAAGAGTAAATAAATAAAGAGACGAGGGCTTCTTTTATTGGCGGATTAACTGATTGAATTCCGATAACGGCGAAAGAAATTTTTAACTCTTCCAAGTTTTTTTTATTTCTAGCCATTTTTGCTAATTAACATCTATATAATAAATATATATCCAAAATGCTGCGTATGAACTGAAAAGGATCGGTTTAGTGATAGATGGTGTTCCACTTCAAATACATACTCAATTCAATTCCGACACAGTATAGAATAGCCCTATCTGCAACGCCTGTGTAAGAGGTCAGCGAGATAGTCAATATATCCCGACAATAAATTGCATGCACCTGTCCCTCAACGATGACAGAGCAAGGAGGCGGCAAATTGACCGTCAGAGGTATGTACAACTCTGATCGCATCCTCAGCGCCTCATCTTTATACAAATCATGGAAATCAGCAACAACAAGAAACAATTTGGAACACATAAGAACCATAAGAATACAACACCTATAGAAACATGCCTGCATCTAAACCGTATATATA